CTCAACTCTAACGACTGAACAATCAATGAGCTTAATGGATTCAACACATTACTGAGTACAACTGTGCCACATTTAAATCTATGAGAACAACAGGGAAAACAGAAAAGAGAGCATTAGCTAAACTGTAATGCAGAATTAGACTGTTATGATAACCAAGACTATGTCTGTCTCAGTCTCTTTATTCTCAAGCACACACTCACTTCCTGCCTCACTGAGCCAAAAGGGAAGTAATAAAGCAGGAAGACTTCCTGCAGTATAGCCTAGTTTAGCTGTGAGAGAAGATGTTTCCAGGCAAAAGCTGTTAGCAGGCTCATAAAATTAGCATAAGGTTAAGGGTAACAACTCTGAGGCAGAATTACACCTGTTACTGGACTAGGAAAAAATGTATTTTAACTCAACAGATGTAAACCAGGGGAGCAACAAAAATATGCAGCTTATTTAGCACATTTATCTGATGCTGGTGCGTCAAGTTTGTTTGCAAGAACAATATGTACGAACACAATAGCTGTTTTAACCACTGCATGTGTGGAATTCAAAACTAATTTAGTCAATGCTATGTAATAATATCTTCATAGACTGATGTTCACTATCCGTCCTGTAACCATAAGAAGCTTTATGTTCACTTACTTTGATAAACAATGCAGCATTTGCTGTATTTCGCTCTCCTGATGTGTCATGACTGACGAAATGGCGCCTCAGTTCAAAAGGCGGCAAATGTGTGAACACGTTCTTTACCTACTAGCTAACGTCGGAAATTAACATGAATGAATATCACACCTTTCACACAATGGCCCGTGTTTTTTAATCACTGGAAGATCACGTTTGCTTGTAAACAATATGTAATACATTGTAAACTATTTAACGAACTGAAGTAAATGTTAAAATATTAGTTTAAGGTATTATTAAACCTGTGTGGTGCTCAGCTTGCATACTTTCTACATTTGTGTTGTCTAAAAATATTACCAATTGGATTTAATACTGCATGCTCAACTGCATAGCTTTAGTATTATCTGCAACATAGTCTTATCATTAGGAATTGGGATTTAGCCTGATTTATAACATTATAACATTTAAAACAAACGTTTTGGTAGTGACAATATTTCATTTAGATTTCTCCACCATAAGTGTGACTCAAATCAAATCATTTTTAAATTATGTTGATAAAATAATAATTTATTTATCAAGTTTCAATTAAATAGATTAAAAGTGAACATTGCAAACTGATATGTTATAATTTGTATATTGCACGCTCAGGAGATGTGAAATTGCCCATTTGTATTTGTGTGGGTGCTTACATATTTGGAAGACCCAAATGTTATTAAAACAAAGCTTGTATACATACAAGGCCTAAATATTTTGGAGTGCTTTAAATATAGTATCATGTATCTGAAACAAGCTTGAGGCTAAGTTTTGTATTAAGTAGCATATTTTACTCTAAAATGACACTGTAAAATAAATAAAGGTCACCTGCAGACTAAAACTGGGATCTTGTTTCATTTTTGTTTACAATCATTAAATGATTAAATGCTCAAGTATTCTTACCTCTAACACACACACACTCTCTCCTGCTGGTGGCAGATATGTAAATGGCTGCGGCTGCCAGATGCTGATACATTCAGGTTTTGACAAGATTTTTCTCGCTTCTTTTCATGTCTGAAGTTCAAAAGTCTTGCATTACTATCCTGCATCCTTCAGTGTTGTGCTGAGCCACAGGCCCTGGGGAAAAAACACTGAAACTACACACACATGTGGATCACAAGCAGGTCACGGGTGGAGACGCCTTCACTTCTGTTTGTTTCAGCATGGAGCAAAGGCCGTCAGGTTTTTTTTTCTGCATGTGCTGCTGATGTGAGCAGTAATACAAACTGCTGTTGCATAGCAAGTGTTTCATGCAGAGTTTTACTTCGCCTTGTCCTGAAGCCACCGTGTGCACTCTTGCAGTAACAGGCCACCCATGAATATCTGCCCTACAGACGGTCAGTCTTCCTCCAGTGTCAGTGTGTGTGCATAACAAGTTGAAACCAGACCTTCTGAATAAAGATCTCTTTTGTGCTGGAGAATTGTGCATGAAAAATGTGTGGAATGACCCTCAAGACTCTGTATGCTGCTGTAGGTATCAGCTCTGGGAAAAGTTAGACAGTTTGCTATTCATAGACGTAGGACTTGTGATACTGTTTCCACACTGTCTGCCTATATGGAGAGGACATTGGATGCATGACAAGACACACTAGGGAGGCTGGTTACTGTCGGGAGCAAAATATAAAGACAGTAATTGTTAGATAAAGCTTAATAATTTCACAATTGTAGTATACATGATAACGTCACAATTCTAAGAAACAGTTACAATTTTAAGAAACCATTTCGCACAGTTTCAACCTCTTACAGAAAAGGCTTTTGAATAGAGACTGGATTAAAAGGGATTTTGAGTCTTCTCTCTTTATATATATATATATATATATATGTGTGTGTGTGTGTGTGTGTGTTTCATATATGTGTAATGGAGTGTGCAAACTTTTCAATACCTGAACTTCTAATACCATTTAAAATAATGTGAAGAATCATTGAACATACTGTATATAATGTTAACTGTTTACTGTTCCTATAGTGGATTTTAGTCACAGTTTCACAGTTTTTGTGGTGTACATAATCCGATTCATATTCAAATATGCAGATATGACAACAATACAAGGGCTACAGTTTAACAGTGTGTGGGGAAATACACAATTTACACAAGAATATGTGTTGCCATATTTCAATGCAAACCCAACAGACATACATATACAGTCACTGGCCACTTTATTAGGTACACCAGTCCAACTGCTTGTTAATGCAAATTTCTAATCAGCCAATCACATGGCAGCAACTCAATGCATTTAGGCATGTAGACATGGTCAAGACGATCTGCTGCATTTTAAACAGAGCATCAGAACAGGGTAGAAAGGTGACTTTGAACAAGGCATGGTTGTTGATGCCAGACAGGCTGGTCTGAGTATTTCAGAAACTGCTGATCTACTGGGATTTTCACGCACAACCATCTCTAGGGTTTACAGAGAATGGTCTGAGAAAGAGAAAATATCCAGTGAGCGGCAGTTCTGTGGGCACAAATGGATTGTTAATGAGGTCAGAGGAGAATGGCCAGACTGATTCAAGCTGATAGAAAGGCAACAGTAACTCAAATAACCACGTGTTACAACCAAGGTGTGCAGAAGAGCATCTCTGAATGCACAACACGACCAACCTTGAGACAGATGGGCTTCAACAGCAGAAGGTTGCCACTCCTGTCAGGTAAGAACAGGAAACTGAGGCTTCAATTGGCACAGGGTCACCAAAATAGGACAATAGATTTTCTTGGCACACGCTGGGCCCATTAGAACCAATTGAGCATCGTGTCAACACCACAGCATACCCGAGTATTGTTGCCGACCATGTCCATCCATTTATGACCAGAGTGTACTCATCTTCTGATGGCTACTTCCAACAGGATAACACACCATAAAGCGTGAATCATCTAACACTGGTTTCTTGAACATGACAAAGTTCCATGTACTCAAATGGCCTCCACTGTCACCAGCTCTCAATCCAATAGAGCACCTTTGGAATTTAGTGGAACGGGAGATTAACATCATGGATGTGCAGCTGACAAATCTGCAGCAACTGCTTGATGCTATCATGTCAATATGGACCAAAATCTCTGAGGAACATTTTCAGTACCTTGTTGAATCTAAGCTACAAAGGATTAAGGCAATTCTGAAGGCAAAAGTGGTCCAACCCGGTACTAGTAAAGTGTACCTAATAAAATGGCCAATGAGTGTAAATGTATATACAAAAACACATTATATATTCCACATATATAATAAACATGAAACATACAACAGAATCATGTATCAAACACTCCTGTCTTTATTTTAACACTGTTGGCCAGCAAAAGAGTGTCACTGTGATACAGTATGCGGGGACGATTCCCAAATTACATCCTTCAAATCCTCCCTCCCCCATTCCAGACTGTCATTGGTTCAGTCCAGTGTGCATTTGGTCAGCTTTAGCATCATTGCGTGCCAGTGGAGGTGAATCTACTGCAGGACACCATCATACAAACACAAACCCTCAGAGTAAAAATAGACGCTCAGTGTCATCCAGCCAAACGTCTGCTACCGGTTCCTTTCAGGACGAGCAGGAGGAGGAGGAGGAGGAGGAGGAGGAGAAAAGCGGAAAGCAGACAGGCACTTCAGTCTTAATGCATGGCTTCAACATGAGGCGAAAGGGAACCAGAGAAAGAAATAAAGATCAGGGAGGACGATCAACTAGTCAGTGATGCTACTGAATGCTATTAGCACTCCTGCTTCTGCTGCTTAATTCACCTTCTTTATCAGGTCAGTTTATTTTACAGAGAGTAAAAGAATAAGCTTTCTCTTCTGTTTTCAGGTCTTGAGACTGAGGGGTTATCCGTCAAGAGTTCAACTCTTCAGAAGTTAAAACTTTGGCATTGTGTTGTCTTAAAATGAATAAAAAGGTCTGGAATTTGGATACATGGCATCTTATTTAAAAAAATATCTTATTTATAAAACACTTTTATCTTAAATTTAGGAGAAATGTCTTCAGTAGTTTGTAGGATGAAAGTATTTCACTGTACATTTTGTGTTTAACTCAAAACACATTTATTCATTAATCTTCCTTCGGTTTAGTCTATTTCAGAGGTCGCCACAGCGGAATGAACCGCCAACTATTGCAGCATATGTTTTACGCAGCGGATGTCCTTCCAACCACAACCCAGTAGTGGGAAACACCCTCACACTCTCGCATTTTCATGCACACTCATACATTATGGCCAATTTAGTATTTCCAATTCACCTATAGTGCGTATTCAATTCAATTCATGTTTATTTATATAGCACTTTTTACATTGTAGATTGTGTCAAAGCAGCTTAACATAGTTCTAGTAAAGTCCAGATTGCAAAATATCTAAACCCGAGCACCCGGAGGAAACCCACGCCAATACTGGGAGAACATTCAAACTCCACACAGAAATACCAACTGGCCTGGGGCTCGAACCAGTGAACTTCTTGCTGTGAGGGAAACTTTTATATATGTTTATAATGTTTGTAAATGATTTGGTTTATGTAGGCCCACTTATAACCCAATGTACCTTCTTTATAAGTTCAGTTTTTACAGAAAGTAAAAGAATAACAATCTTTCTCTTCAAGCAGTTATTCAGACCTTGAAAAAGTGTCTCCAGAAAGCGACAATCAAAAACAAGAGGCACTTTTTGTATATACATAACACGTTCGATGATTGTGAGGGATTGTAAATACTGTTCAAGTTTCTGCTGAAGCTCAGAGGTCACTGTGATTGGCTGCAGTGTCTTGATTCTCCTCTCTGATTGGCTGTTGTGCTGGTCTGTGGAGAGTCTGGACAGCACAGGCGGCTGCACTTGTTGCAGAGAGTCTTTTGAAAGTGCTTGTGGGGTCACACCGCACTCGTTCTCCTCTGGCATTCAGCTGATCGGGAGATCGCAGGCGGTACATTTCCCAGAAGTGCACACTGCTGAGGCTTCAACACTCTGAGAAAAAAAAAAACAGAAGTGAGATGTAAAGTCTTGCAATATTTATAGATTTACACATTAATCAGTGCTGTTGTAAATTCAAATATTGGTATTGACTTGTCTGCACTTTAATTCAAAAGTGTCTAAAACTTAACCATTACATGCTCTAAACTTCATTCATTCATTTATTTTTCTTCTGCTTAGTTCTTTTTTTCATCAGGGGTCGCCACAGCGGAATGAAATGACAACTTGTCAAGCATATGTTTTACACAGCGTATGCCCTTCCATCTGCAACCCAGCACAAGGAAACATCCATACATATTCATTCACACACATACACTACGGACAATTTAGTTTATTCAATTCACCTCAGAAATGGTCCACTACACACAGAAATGCCAACTGGCACAGCCGTGACTCAAACTAGCAACCTCCTTGCTGTGAGGCGACTGTGCTAACCACTGAGAGACCGTGTCACTCTGCCCTAACCATTTTTATTGTAATAAAAAAATATATATATCATTACTTTACAGAATAAAACTAAATTAAATTTTAATCAAACACAACTATAAAATGCAAATGTAGACAACCTAAGAATTTCCAAGTGGCCTCTTTTTCCACAGCTGTATATTTAATAAAGGTTTATTCTGAATGCAGCTACCATTTGTTTTGTTTTTTGCTTCGCTACACTGTCCAGCCCTTAAGAGACTAGAGACATCATAAGCAATAGCATAATTCCCCATAGCAGATGCAGGCTTATTTAATCAGGACAGTGAAATGAAAATAATTAGTGATGTTTGTTGAACATATCCAGGTAGTTTGGAAAAGAAAAGCTTGATTGTGTTTACAAATAATGCATCACCTACACTACATCTTATTCAACCTAGCCAAGAGTTAAAGAGCCCCTACAGTATTATGGGTTTTGAGGGTTAAATCTAAAGGTGTACCTTGTTTAAAAATACAATTTTTTACTAAAATATTTGAATCATGAGTCGTTTAAATGACTCGTCGTTCATCTGGATCTTTTGACTGTTCATATCGACGTTGAAGCAAAACAATACCATTTATGAACTACTGGATCCGGTGAAACGTGAACGCGCCTTTTCCTTCAGACACAAGTGGAGTGCGAGAGATCTTGGGATTGATCATGAGGCTAGGATTAGTATCACTGAAAGATGGCCAGACATGCGACTGTAGGGAATAAAGGGTTAAAGTTCATTTTCACAACAGCACCACAGTATAGCTAACTGTGTGATGTGTTTGTTCCTGTCATTTTTCTGATGATTAATACAATAACCTACCCTGCAGTGCAGGATTCCCCGGCCGTTTGTTATTAAGAAGGGATCAGCAAAGACTACTAATGTATGGGACTTTGTCAGTAAGAGGTTCAGTTTGTATGGACAAGTTTCTTCTTCCTCCAAATCCTGTAAGTGTTTCTCCTTCCTAAACAAAGTAAAGTGTGATTAATGGTTGCCTCGTTTTCTGTAGTTTGCAAAATACGGCTTGTAATCACATATCTGATATAGATCAGTGATTGTAATGTATCTCTCAGGTTAAATCTGTATGAGCTATTTCACATATCGCATACAAATCCACGATGTAAACGCAATGCCTGCTTCTTTCTTTACAGATTTAAATGTGCTTCTGCACGCAATCTCTTGCTGTTGCTTGCCACCATTAGATATTCAGATTAATACTGAATGTGTGTCCTTGTTATTACTTGGGGTTATGGTAAAAAATAGAATATAACCGTGCTGGCCGTTTCTCTTAGTCTCGCGCTGAACGCAGTCGACCAATCACAACAGACTGGGTCATCTGATCAATCTCAGATTAGCCTCATGCAAAGGAGGGATTTGGGAACAAATGAATCACTGAACAAATCATAAGGGAGTCGCTACGATAAGATAAAAATAAATGCATATTTTAAGACAACGAAAATGTTTTTTGACCCTGCATGCATTTCAGCCAGTTGTTGAAAACCCCCAAAACCAAATTATGATCTTTCATAAAGCAAAATAGAGGCTCTTTAAAAATGAAAAACACTGGACCTTGAAACACAAGAATACAGTGTTAGAAACACACTTGTTGCAGTAACTTTCCAACTTACATGGCTTTGTGCACTTTGTCAAACCATGTTACATAAGATTAAGCACATTGACTACATCAGAGGAGATGATCATATGGAGTAAGAGAGAGAGAGAGAGACATGTGACGAAAGAACGCAAAGAACTTTTACAATGTGCAGGACTTATAAATGTGTATGTATAGAAACTGTTGTGCAATCGATATATTCATGTTTTGCAGAAACACAGGCAGGATCATGTACGTATTTCATAGAGCCTTGGCTGAGTCTGTTACATTGTTAGGTCTGGCATGAATAAATTTGCAGGCTATGAATCAGGCAGCTGAGCCTCTCTTCATACCTTGGTGAATTGTGCAACTAGAAACTTAAACCTTGATAGATATCTCCTATTAGCTGTTCTTATCAGAGAAAATAATAGTTTTAAATGCATAATGACATCCGGTTGCAGAAAGGTAAATGCCTTTAAAGAGAAAGTTTATACAAAAATTAAATTCACAGTTAATTTACTCACACTCACGCCAACCAAGAAGCAGACTTTTCAAGCCAAACATTATGCACAGTGTTGCCATGGAAGATTAATTTTTTTAAACAATTCACAGTGCGCTCAATACAGTCTCGAGCAGTCAGACTCAGAACTGTTGGCCAAGTCTGTTAATTAAAAGCAACAATGTTCTTCTAGCTGCATAAACTGATCATTTTAAAGAGCTCAATGTTTTGCCACAAATTAGTTTTATCTCTGTGAATTTTTATTCTCAAAGACCTAAAAGCTGCAACACAGGCTCACAGGAAATATGTGCTTCAGCCTACATTTTTGTAAAACTGCAAAAACATGCTTTAATATGTGTAAATTAAACCCTACAGGTCTGTATATGATGCCTTTCGTTAGTTTTCACACTAATGATATTGACAAAGGCGTTTTATCGTTGAATAAAGGATTCTTTTTATAAAGTTCTTAACAACAAATATATACTATGTGGTCGCGGATCACTTTCCTTTTACATTTGCTTTGAAAACATTATTGCTTGGATTTAGGTCAGTGGGTTGCTGGTGATCTGTATGACGAGCCCTACTTTCTTATGAACAAATACAAGAAACGTGAAACTTCCGGTCGAGTGAACGCTGGTGCGTTTTGGCTGCCGCTGCTCACTGTGTTTACTTAGTTTGTTTTAAACTTCTTTTTACTCGAATATTTTATTGGAATGTTTTTTTTTAATCTGAACTCTTGGGTCATTGATCTTTGTGGACTCTGTGATCGTTGTGGATTCTTTGATTGCTGTGACTTTGTGATCGCTGTGATCACTATCTGGTTGCCCGCATACCATTAACTTCTCCAGCGCCGTGTCCACGTCTTCGCTAACCTTCAGATTATACCTCAAAGCATCGTATTTGTGTCTACAATTTGTAATTGAATATTTCCCTCACCCTCATGTCAGTTTGCTTGGTAGCTCACTTTGATGGGTGTTGTACTTGTAATGCAAAACACTCAGATTCGAGTCCAGTGATGCACAATTTCACAAAAGAGATAAAAGCTACGTAAAATCAAGGTAAAACTATGTGGTCGCGGATCACTTTTCTTTTTACATTTGCTTTGAAAACATTATCGGTTGGATTTTGGTCAGTGGTTCGCTGGTGATCGGTATGACAAGCCCTACTTTCTTATGAACAAGTACAAGTAGGACATCTATCTGAAATGTAAAGCAAAACATATCCTAAGAAGAGATTCGCAAAAATGTAGATCGCCCTCTAGTGGATTGTTATCATCTAAAACCTGCAACAAACTGTACCCAGAGCAATGTATGACTAAAATTGAATGAATCAAGAACCAAGAACTGCAAGAACTTCTCAAGAAAAAAGGTGAACAAACTCTTACACTAAAAAAAAAGCTGAGATCCACACAATTCCTTCATGCTGTCCCAACACAAATCGATTAAGTCAACTTAGGAGCGTATTGAACATAAATCAATTAAGTTGTTAAAAAAAAAATTTTAAACTAATTTTAAATAAGTAGTTTGAACAAGCAGTTAATTATTTTTTTGAATGAATAAGATCATGATGAAGTGCAATAATATAAACATGACATTTACATCATGTATGAGTACAAAGAACAAAATATGCATGCTCGAGTCACATAATCAATCCATCGCACGTCACCACTGGTCTGCAATCATGGCCCACTGGCATAAACAATACAATCACTGCAAAATAACAAATTGATGGTCTTTATTCATTAAAGCACAGGCGAGTTAGTCCTCTGCCTTTACCAAACATCCGCTCATTTCCACCCATTACTGTGCTATTTGTGAAGAGTCATCTGGATAAACACACACGGCGGAGACAGCAACTAATTTAGAGGAGCACTGAACACTTGAAGAGTCCGCTTTAATGGGTCACATGGCCTTTGGAACACACAAATTGGTCAAATTTATAGCATTAATGCACTTCCCATGTATATAGCTTTAGATTAAAGTGGCAGCTTTTGAATAAATTTACACTTGAACGCTCTTCTACATTAATTTAATACACTACTACACTGTAAAAAAAATCTTTCATAGGAAAAAGTGTGGGCATCCCTGCTTTAAGTTATACAAAGTTTGAATATTTTTAGTCACCTTGGTTAATGTAAGTTGACTGGAAAGGTTCCTTTGATTCAACTACATATAAGACAGCAATATTTTTTTCAAGTGTGGTTTTAACTTTTGCAACCAAAAAACAAAGGCTGTAAAAGCTCGGCATGAGCCAACAAGTTGAATATCAGCTAAATTCAATCTGGTGATGCGATTTAAAAGCATAAACAAAAAGCTTTTTCTAAATGAAACTGTAATTGAAAAAAATTGCATGTTTTGACAAAGAGGAGGAAAACAAAATTATTATTGATTACTTGAAAATTGACCAATGTTCCTGGTCTGTGTTGCGGTCTTGGCTGTAATTGTAAAGG